GGACGTCAAGCCCTTCGATGATCATGGCCTCTTTTAGCTTGACTTCTTTGAGTGAGGCGACATAACACTCCCTGGCCATGGTCTGTTCTCCTTTGACAGTTCTAACACCGAGATCGGTAGGAAATTTGATGGCAAGGTGACAGGTGGATGTGATGGCTTGGAAGGCGTTTAGGGCTGTGCGGCCAAGGATGATGTTGTAAGCAGAGGGGCAGTCGACCACAAGGAAGGTGAGCAACTTAGTGGTCTACCTCGGGTGTTCACCAATGGTGATAGGTAGATCGATGGAGCCGATGGAGGTCACACGGTCGTCGGTGAAACCGACCAGAGGGGTTTGGAGGGGAGACAAGCTTTCTTCCCCAATCTTGAGCTGGCAGAAGCAATTAAGGAAGATGATGTCTGAAGAGCTGCCATTGTCAATGAGGACTCGCCTGACCTTGTAGTTGGAGAGGATGGCGGAAATGACATGGGGGTCATCATGTGGGTAATGGACTCCGGCACAGTCGGTGTCTGTGAAGGTGATGGGTTCGATCCACTGTTTTGACTGTTTGGGAGGTCTGTCCACCGTCGCCACTGCTTTGTCTGAGCCCTGCCTGATTTTTGTGAGTTCTGCCTTCTGAGCTGAGCGGGATGGTCCCCCGCAAGCAAGGCCGCCTGAAATGACTCTGATTTCTCCGACTGGTGGAGGGGGATTGCCTGGAGGTCGAGGCTGTGGTGGTGGGCGATCGTGGCCTTGGTTAGGTGGGGCTTGATTGCGGGGTGGTGTATGTCGGCGATTGTTCCTAGGAAGGTCTGTTCTTTGCCTCTGTTGAGAGTGGGTGTCTGTGAATCGGCTGAGGCGGCCCTGACGTATGAAGGTCTCGATCTGATCTTTGAGGTTGATACACTCGTCGGTGGTATGGCCATGGTCTTGGTGGAAACGGCAATACTTGGACTGATCTTTGCGACTGGAGGGGTTTCGTGAAGGCAGGGGCCACTTGAGGGGGTAGTCCCGCTAGATCTGATTGAGGACGTGTTCCATGGGGGAGTTGAGTGGTGTGTACCGCTCGAACCGACTGGGCGGTCGGGTCGGAGCCGACCGGTCGGCTCGGTGCGGTCGGTCATTATAGTGGGGTGTTTGGTTATTATACTGGGCAGTCCTGGGTTCTGAGTCTTTCCTCTTGTCTCTGGGGGTCGGATTTTTAGGGGTCGGCTCTTGCCGAGCGGCCAGGGAATCTTCAGCATTCATGTATTTCTGGGCTTTGGATAGTAGGGCTGCCATGGTGGTTGGAGGGTTTTTGGAGAGTGAGAAAAGAAAATCGGACGACCGCAGGCCGACCATGAAAGTGGTGAGGATGACCTTGTCGTCATTCTCTGCTACTTGAAGGGCTTCGGTGTTGAAGCGGGTGACGAAGCTGCGGAGCGACTCCCCCTCGGTCGGACGAATGTTAAGGAGTTAGGTGGCTGGGCGTCTCTGACGCTGGGCTCCGATAAAATGGCTCAGGAAAGAGTCACTGAGGTATTGAAAGGTGGAGATGGAGTCCGCTGGTAACTGGCTAAACCACAACCGAGCTGATCCCTTCAGTGTCACTGGAAAAGCTTGGCACATGATCTCGTCAGGGAAAGCATGGAGGATCATGAGGGTGCGGTAGGTTTCCAGATGGTCGATTGGGTCCGTCGTGCCATCGAATGAGTCAATGGTAGGTATTTTGAACTTGGCGGGCAATGGTTTGTCGCGGATGGAGGCAACAAAAGGCGAGTTGGCGATGACTAAGGGCTTGTGCTGAATGTTCTGCATGACCCCTTGTAGTTGGAGTTTCATAGCTTGGAGTTCAGCGTCCCAGAGGGGAATGTTGTCACCATGGTCGGTCAATGGAGGCTGGACACTGCTGGCTTCCCCCTCAAGGGCTAGTGCTACGACTGACGGGCGTGGATGTGGGGGTGGTAGGCTCATATGTGGAGGAGGAGGGGGTTGTAAACCTTCTGGGTTGAGCGGAGGGGGTTGTGGAGCAGTGTGGCCCGGAGTTCTTTCTTGGTTGGGTGGAATATCTGGAGGTGAAGCGGGGAGGTTTCTTTGGAGTAAAGCACTGATCAGGGCCTGGTTTTGCCCGGCCATGCGATTAATGCTGTTAGTGAGTTCGATGATGTATTGTGGTGGGTTGTTTGGATGGAAAGGGTCTGTTTGATGATCGGCGGTATTATGGTGAGAAGCCATGGACCTAGTCGTGACCATACACCTAGACGGGTGAGAGGAAAAGGTAACGGTGAGAAAAGAGGGCTCTGGCAATAGTGAACACAACTAACGCACGAATAAACCACAGTTTCCCACAGACGGCGCCAACTGATAATGCAGTTCGTCCTGGGTGCGATTCAGGCGGATGACTCCTCCAGCCAACCTGCGAACAAGTCCAAAGGGGAACGGGGTAGTCCCCCAGTGAACCCTCCGGCGAGCGAATCAGTAGAGGAAGAAGGAAAATGTAGAGAGAGAGAGAGAGAGAGATATAGAAAAACTTAACCTTCCTCTTGTCTTCCATTCTTGCTTATATCCTTTGGTAATCATTTCACTGTCCTTTGTGACGTGCCCCCTTCCGCCGAAAGCCTGTGCCGTAGCTTACCTTGTTCAGGGTGAGGGGGCTCTGTTCCGACGAGGAGGTGTTGTCGAATAAATGCTGTGATGGGCTGCATTAATGGTGATGTGTTGTGGCAATAACTCTGCAGATCTTTGTCTGCTGATGCGGCCTGTGTTCCACCTGCCATGTGCCCGAATGCCATTGGCCCTCCATGTCCAGATGGCCTCCAGCTGTCCTGGGCTTTGCCAACCGGGTTATGCTATTGGTCCCAAGCAATGGGTTTGGGGTGGTTTGCTGTGGGCCGTAAGCCTTGTGGGCCTATCCATGTCAGTTTTAGATATTTTAGCCAATGTAGCTTAAATTTTAAACTCTAATAGGTTGATTATTGGGTTAGCTATTTTATCATCTTACTTTTTTGATGGTTACAATTAAAGAGCTCTAGAGGCTCTCCAAACAAATAGATATATGTATATACATCTTGAATTTTTGTATATTTATGTCTTGGATTTGAGATTTTATATATTTTATATATGTATATGTGTATGTAATAATTTTATATGTTCTTTCAATTCTATTTGATGAATTATGACATAACTTATTTTGTATTTTGTATTTTTTTCTTCTCATTCTATATGTTTTGTATGTTTCTATGGGTAAATTTATTTTTATTGCAAATTTATATTAGTAAAATATTAGCAATTAGCATTTTTTGTTTTAAAAATTAATTAAGTTAGTTTGAATGATTAACTAAAATAAAAAGTGTGATTAAAAAATACAATAATTAAAGTAATTAGATAAAATAAAAAATATATTTTTTTCATACTTTCACTACTGAAAAGTAAAGAGTACGCAATACCATTGTTTAGCTGTTTACCTTTCCGATACTCTTAGAAGTAGTTTAGATACACCAAGGATCCTCTAGAGTGTTTTTTTTCTAAAGTTTCCTAAAGTGGTGCATTGTGTGGTTGAGATTTAATGCTAGAAAATTGATGTGACTTGTCATTAAATCTCAACCACACAATGCACCACTCTAGGAAACTTTAGGAAAAAAAAACTCTAGAGGATCCTTGCTCGTTTAGATAAACAAATTTTATTTTAAATATTTGAAAGGTTTTTTTTAATCGATGGAGGTCAATTGTTAGTTTTCAGATATAACATTTATAAGAGTTACCTCTTTATTTTTTGTAAAGTATCAAGTATTTGTCTCATTAATTCAACTCTTTTTAAAGAGAATTAATTGAATCCACAACCTCCCCTAAGGATTAAACTTTTGGAAGGTTATGGTGATCTAATTGGTAGAAAATTAGTTGTTAGCATTTACGAGAGTTAGCCTACCCTTACAAAATACCATATGCTTGTCTTTCTAATTCAATATTCCCTTTCTAAGAGTTAAAATTATAATTTTCTCTTAAAACTAATTTCTTAATGTTGTGTTTGGTTGGGGGATTTGGGGAGGGATTTGGAAAGAGAAATGGAAAAGGTAGGTGAAATATAAATAAAATATGTATATATTTCACATAGTTTCACACACCTTTTCCCTTTCCCTTTCCAAATTCCTTCCCAAATCCCACAACCAAACACACCATAAAAAAATCTTGATGACCAACTAAACTTGTGTAGTTGCCGATTAAAAAAAAACAACTGGTGTAGTTAGTTGGAGTTCGAGTTGGGGAGTGAGCGAGAGGGAGAGAGGGGGTGAGAATTTCTTGGAGCATTGGCAACCACTTTCTTGATGGGAACTCTCATCATCCATTTTAATACTCTCAAAAAACGCAAGCGGCACTTCTTTAAGTTGTATTTAAAGTATGAATTTTAATAAAAATTTAAAAATGAAATATTTTATTTATAATTTACGTACTTTATTTTATTTTTATCTTTTTAAATTCATACTCCAAAAGACCACCTTTTAACATATAATGTGAACGGTCGTGCCGAAATGTGCGTGATCCACCTGATTCAAATAATTCCATTTGCAACAAAACCCGACTGATACTACTACGACTTATTAATTATTCAGGACACACATACATTGAATTCAGACACGTTAAACAAGTGTCAGAATTAGTTTATGCCCTTTTTCCAATTATAGAGGGACTTATTTATTCTTTTGTCAAATGTTAACAACAGTTGACTTCAAAAGAGGATAGATTCGATAAAGAAAAATTATTAATTGTCATCATAATACCATGTAAAATTATTTATATGATGTTATTAATAAATGAAAATCATAAATCACATTAGATGAAAGGTTATCCACGGACCACGTCTCTCAATAATTTATTAAAGATAGATCAGTATTATTTTATTTATAAAATATTATGTTATCTTATTAGTTGGGAGTATCGTGTGAATAATAAAACAATTTTCACAGTGGGAATATATCAAGGGTCGAAACCTAGTGAACCTAATGATACACACACATATATATATATATATATACAATAAAGGGAAACCATAAAAGCTAATATAAACAGCAGATCCAAGAAGAACCTTATAACTTGCAAGTTTTAAGCAAACCCCCAATCAAGAGACAAAGGGGCTCATCAATGTCTAAACCAAGGTGAAGTCATCTTTCTTCTATTATCGTTTGAGATCTACAAATGCATCAACATTCACTCTTCTTACATGTTCTCTTATTTTGATTTCATAAATTTTCTTCCAAACACAAGCACACTAGTTACTTGTCTCTTTTTTTCTTTTTTTTTCCCTCTCTGTACACTTTAGTCCATGGATTCCTAAACTTTTGGTGCATGTTATGCATAATTTATAGGTTGGAGGATAAGGTGGCACTTATAACTGGTGCAGCCAGTGGCATCGGCGAGGAAGCTGTCAGATTATTCACTGAGAATGGAGCTTTGGTTGTTGTCGCCGACGTTCAAGATGAATTGGGACATCAAGTGGTTGCATCTATAGGCTCAGACAAAGCTACTTACCATCACTGCGATGTAAGAGATGAGAAACAAGTTGAAGAAACAGTGAAATTCACACTAGAGAAACATGGAAGATTGGATATCATGTTCAGCAATGCTGGAATCATAGGCCCATTGACTGGGATACTAGACCTCGACATTGAAGGCCTTGACAACACTATGGCTACAAATGTTCGTGGCGTTGCTTCGACAATTAAACACGCAGCTCGTGCAATGGTGGCTAAAGAAATACGCGGATCGATTATATGCACTACTAGTGTTGCAGCTTGTCTTGGAGGAACAGGGCCACATGCCTATACCGCATCCAAACACGCCCTAGTAGGGCTGGTTCGATCAGCTTGCAGAGAGCTTGGGCATCATGGAATTAGAGTCAATTGTGTTTCTCCGTTTGGCGTTGCCACGCCTCTTTCATGCAAGGCCTACAATCTGGAACCGAGTGAGGTTGAAGCTAATAGTTGTGTCTTGGCTAACTTGAAGGGGATTGTGTTGAAGGCTAGGCATATTGCTGAGGCTGCTCTGTTTCTAGCTTCAGACGAATCAGCTTATATCAGCGGTCATAACTTGGTGGTTGATGGTGGTTTCACGGTGGTGAACCAGAGTTTCTCGGCATGACATCAATCGAAATTTTCTAGAATTTACTTTCTGCTTCTAGTTAAAATTTAATTGAAAATTTTCATTTTCATTTTTCCAAGTCAAACCATGTTACCGGCACTCCCCATGTGCCTTCTCCTTGTAATCTGCATTTTTATCTCTTCGTTTTTTCTTTGTTCTACACCAGAAGTTCATTAATCTTTGTCTTATGGAAACATTTATTTATGGTTTTCACAGAATATAGTTTTCCCTTCAACCAAGTAAGACAAGCTGAGTCACTAACTAATAAATAATATAACCAGTGCATTGCACCTCTTTAAAGATGGCATGCAGGGGCACGATTAATAAGTAGAGCATATATTCATACAACACATTTTTTATCTAACCCACCCCAAAAAGCCTCTGATTTCATCTTTCTCGATATATCTGTCTGCCCTCCCTAAAAAGCTCTTTATAGTAATTCTTGTTGGAAAAAATGATTTTTGGAACTTTATATTAAAGTGTGGCGACTTTAATTAAAGATTGAAGTGGGTCCCAACCATCTATTGTGTTGGATCCAAGTGGGTCTAGATACTTTGCATTGAGATCTTTACACCACAGATAGAATGGCCAAAAACCATTGAGATTTGAATGAGAAATTACCTCATGAAGTTAGCTTCATGGAAAAAAGGTAATGAAGTTTGTAACTCCTGCATTAATGGGGTTGGTAACTCCTGCCTTTATTCGAGGTTAATGGTGCATTATAAACAGCCATAAAGGCTGGAGGCTCTTCCTCTCTCCCCTATACATGTATAAATTGAGACCCTCCTGTCAAGTCTCAAACACAGAAATTTTTACTTCCATTTCACAAGTCAGTTTGCCTGAAAGTTCCTACAGTGAGAGAGTGCTGCCACTGTTTTGTTCGCTAAGCTAGACAGAGAGTGCTTCTGCCGTAGCTGGTTTTGACCGTCGTATCCTGGGAGACAAACGCCGGGATTCCTCAAGCACTCGACCAGTGAGGCGGCGAAATCTGTTTTAAGGAAACTGCTTACGTGCAGGCTTCGGTTTCGTCTCTTTACCCTTTTATTGTTTTCTGTATTTCTGTTGAAATTTAGTTGTAATTATTAGCATGTGTTCTTAGTATATATATAATTTGATTTCTTCATAAATCTATTTATTTAATTTCAAAATTTGAATAACAAGCTTAAAACAGATTTTTCATATATGTTTTTCCTATGAAATTGATCGAATAGATTTATATAGACATTTGTATAATGTTACTAGGAACTGTTGCGGAATTGCTCCCTATTTCAATGATTGTAAATTATGCAATGTGATTCTCTAATTGTTTAGTTTAATTAGAATGCTCTATCATAATTTGTATACTTAATTGTATTACTCTGATCTTATTTTATGAGTATGGTTCATCATTCCCCTTCTATGATTTGCATGAATTTTATTGATATTGCAATTTTGACATACTAATTCTATTCTATTCTAGGTTTTAATTTGTTACATGCTTATTATTTTCTAGACTAGATTACATGATTTAATCTTTAGAATTTTTGCATGTTAATGGTTGAATGGTTTTATACTTGAAGTGCTTGGTTATTAGTTTATTACATATAAACAATTCAAATTATTTACATAAACTGCATGCTACTTATTTGGTTTCATCCTATTTGTCTAATATTGCATATGTATATTTTGATTTTGCATGCATCTAGCTTTACTATCTAATTTGCATGTGAAATTGCTTCTAGTTTTATAGAGTTATACGCATAAGTTATTTCCATGAATAGTGTGTGATTTAATTGGATGAATTAAAGTTTGAATTAAATGTAGTTCTTTGGAGTTATAAAATTTGTGTAACTTGCCTATATTTATTTACATGGTTATTGTGAATTAAATTCTTATATAATTTATGGCAATTAATTTTTTAATTTAATGTAGAAGTTATAAGGTTTTGTAAATTGTATAGTATCTTAATTCCTTAGTTATTCTATGATTTGCTAGAAGGTTAAATAATATTTGATTGTATGTACAATTGCTTTATATTATGTTGTCGTTTTCTACTAACTCTCTTTGTAGGCATACCTAAGCGTAGAAAGGAATTGTTTGGACTACATAGAATCCTTATGGATTGGCTATTTTATCAAAATGTTTGAAGCATATTTGCTTATTAGATGCATTTTATATGCATGTATTTGAGTGTAGCAATTTTAAATTGTTTGCAAGTTTAAATTGCTTGTAAGTTTGGATTTTGGTTTGGTTTTCTGGAATAGAAACCAAAGTGTTTAGCCTTGGCTAAAAAGGAGGTTTTATTTGTTCGAAATGGCAACTATCACTGATGCTGCTGCTACTGCTAATGTTGGTGGGGATCTGAACCCCGGGGCAACTGGGTTGCCAACCCCTACTGTTGTGACATCTGTGGTCAACCATGGCATTACTCCGGTTGTTCCGGGAGGACTGCTCAGTCATCATGAGCGCTCAGAGAAATTTGCTGGGGTGAACTTCAAGAGATGGTAGCAAAAGATGCTGTTCTACTTGACCACACTAAACCTTGCAAAGGTTCTGAGCGAGGATCCTCCAGCCATGGCAGAGAATGAGCCTGATAGGCAGAAAGTCATGGCGCTTGACACATGGAAGCAGACAGACTATCTTTGCCGGAACTATGTGTTCAACAGCTTGGCAGACTCACTCTAGAGTGTGTTTTGTTCCAAGAGCTCAGCAAAAGAGTTATGGAAAGGCGTTAAGCCTTCGTATAAATTCTTACGAATGTGGGGGTGTCTTGCAAAAGTGGCAATTCCTACACCCAAACGGGTTAGGATAGGCCCGAAATCCGTGGATTGTATATTCATTGGTTATGCACATAATAGTAGTGCATATCAGTTTCTTGTACATAAGTCTGAAATTCCAGACATACACAGGAATACCATTATGGAGTCAAGGAATGCATGTTTCTTTGAAGACATTTTTCCTTGCCGAACCCATGAAAGGGTTCCAAGGTCTTTGGAGAAATTTGATGAGCTTGCTAGATGAGCCCAGAAAGAGTAAAAGGGCTAGGATATCCAAATCTTTTGGTCCAGACTTCTTAACTTATATGGTTGAGAATGAACCTCAAACTTTCCACGAAGCTGTGACTTCTCCTGAGAGTCCATTATGGAAAGAAGCGATCAAAAGTGAGATTGACTCCATCTTACAGAACCACACCTGGGAGTTGGTAGATTTATCTCTAGGTTGTAAGCCTTTAGGCTGCAAATGGATTTTTAAAAGAAAGATAAAGGCCGATGGGTCTATTGACAAGTATAAGGCGAGGCTCATTATCAAAGGGTACAGGCAACGAGAAAGCCTGGATTACTTTGATACGTACTCACCTGTTACTAGGATAACATCCATTCGGATGGTGATTGCGATTGCTACTTTGCGCAATCTAGAAATTCACCAGATGGATCTAAAGACAACTTTCTTAAATGGAGATTTGAATGAAGAAATCTACATGGAGCAACCTAAAGGATTTTCAGCTCCAGGGCAAAGCAAGAAAGTTTGAAAACTTGTCAAATCATTGTATGGTTTGAAGTAAGCGCCTAAACAATGGCATGAGAAGTTTGACAACGTAATGTTGTCAAATGGGTTTAGAATCAACGAATGTGACAAGTGTGTTTATGTCAAAGACACTGACGGAGGTTATGTTATTTTGTGTCTATATGTTGATGATATGCTCATTATAGGTAGTAATGATGAAATGATCAAAACTACCAAGAAGTTGTTAAACTCTAAGTTTGACATGAAGGATATGGGCATTGCAGATGTTATTCTGGGAATTAAGATTACTAGAATCTCTGACGGAATTGTACTCTCTCAGTCTCATTATGTTGATAAGATACTTGAGAAGTTTAGTGGATCAGATACGAGTGTGTCATCGACACTTGTAGACTTAAGTCTACATTTTAC